TCATAATAGGTGAAAAGCCCTGAATCCTAAGGTTGGGTCATTCAAGAAAAATGGCTCAGCCTTTTTTCAAAAGGTCAGGTGGAATTAGTTTTAAAAGTGTTTCCTTGTGAGTTCATAGTCGGGCTTTTTAAAAATTTTTGTAATCCCCAACAAATGCAATAGGCATTACTCTAAATCAGATTTGTCTTGTATCACATCATTAACTGGTATCATGTTAATTTAATTTTTATTCTCAATATTTTGTAATCGATTATAAAGTTGTAACCCTATGGATGAGTCTTTGTTCAAGAAAGTTTACATTTTGCTTAATATAAAAAAAAGCACTAAATCTCCACGATCTGCCTCGTTAAACATGTTTGTGTTGCTTAAAGGTTGATATTAATGCTACAAAATTCAAAAGTCCAATTCTAATTGAAAACTCTATCTAATTATAACATGGTATCAAATTGGACTGGACTATGGAATCTATATAAAAATAAAATAGGGAGACTACATAATATACATTATCACTATAATATATATATTGTTGTAGGCCTATTTGACTGAACAGTTTAAAGGACAGAGAGGGAGAGGGGCTGGCAGCAACAGAGAGAGAAGAGAGAGATTTTAATTCTGAGGTGTGTGTTGTATCACCCCCTTATGTCTTTATTTATAGTAGTAGGATAGCTAGAATCCTTACCCTAATAGGATTACATCTCTAATAGGAATTAAACTACTAAAGAAAATATACAAGATACTCCTAGATACATTAGGATTTACACAATCACATTCCTAATCCAATAGGACTGCAACACTACCCCTTGAATGTGTAAATACACAAACAAAATGTCACATCATATCTTCAGCAGATGAGATAGAATAGCTAATGAAGTCGTCAGCACAAAGAGTGAACACGAGTCTCAAATATAAGAAAGTAAGTATGCATTGGTAGTAAAACTCACAAAACCTCGCTATAGTAAAATCCAAGGCATCGGGAAAACCCATAGACTAAGGAGAAAAGTGAGAAGTACGCATAATGTCTAAAACAAACATCAAACACGACGAAAATAGTGATCTCAACGGAGTATGATTATCCCAGGATGGGTGCCTCGTTAAAACCTCGTTAGGTAACAAAAACCCAATGGGAAAAATGCTCCTAATCGTAGGAAAAATAGTACATTAAGATCAAGTGAGTATGCTTCAGGATACTCCCCTCTGAATTAGACATAACTTACAAATAGGAGAACTACAACCAATTCAACTTAGATAATTTACGCATACTGATTCCTTGGACGAGCTGCTGAAAAGTAGACTTGGGCAATGACTTTATGAAAAGATCAGCCAGGTTGTCCTAGGAATGGATTTGCTTGACTTCAATGTTCTAATCCTATTGTTGCTGGTAAGAATAAAAGAACTTAGGTGCTATGTGCTTGGTGTTGTCTCCCTTGACGTATCCCTTCTTTAATTGCTTGATACATGCTGCGTTGTCTTCAAAGATTATCGTATGAAGGTTAACGATGAAAGAAACACCACTAGTGCCTCGAATATGTTCCATAACTACTCTCAACCTAAAGCATTCTCGTGAGGCTTCATGCAGGGTGAGAATCTCAGCATGGTTCAAAGAAGTCACAACTAGCGTTTACTTAGTAGACCTCCAAGATATAGCAGTGTCTCCAACGGTAAAGACATACCCATTTGAGAACGTGCCCTATGTGGGTCAGACAAATAACTAGCATCTACGTAACCAACGAAGTGAGAATCAACCCAACGACCAAGGGGGGCGGCGACTCCTCTCGAGGATTCATGGGTGTAGAACAAGCCCAAATCCATCGTACCCATGAGGTAGTGGAAAATATCTTTAACACCATTTCAATGCCTGCATATAAGTGCGTTGCTGTATCTAGCCAAAAGATTAACAGCAAATGAGATGTCGGGTTTAGTGCATTAAGCCAAGTACAATGAAGCACCAATTACATTTAGGTATGGAACTTCAGGCTCCAAAATCTTTTTCTCATCCTCCTTCAGATGGAAGGGAACTCGTTTAGCATCTAGAGTTCGAACGACCATAGGAGTACTCGAAGGTTTCGCTTTATCCTCATTAAAGATGCAACACCTTATGGGTGTAGTTCGACTTATGTACTAAGATTCCATCTGAACAATGCTCGATCTCTAGGTCGAGACAATATCGAGTTTTCCCAAGATCTTTCTTCTCAAATTTCTATTTAAAGTGCTCTGCAATTCCCTCAAGCTCTGTGGGAGTTCTAATGAGGTTCATGTCGTCGACAAAAACTGCAACGATCGTAAATTCGGAATGTGACTTCTTAATGAACATGCATAGGCATAGTTCGTTGTTCACATAACCCTGACTTGTCAAATATTCACTCAGACGGTTATATCATATCTTCCCGGATTGTTTCAATACGTAGAGTGATCTCCTCAATCTAATCGAGAGAGTGTTTTGTGGTCTAGAACTATTTGAACTAGTCAACGGAAGTCTTTCTGGAACTTTCATGTACATTTTCGTATCTAGATCCTCATAGAGATACGTGGTTACCACGTCCATAAGCTACATATTTAGTTTTTTGGAAACTACAGAACTGATAAAGCAGCGGAACGTTATGACGTCCATTACAGGGGAATACGTCTCCTCGTAATGAATCTGAAGCGATTGAGAGAAACCTTGCGCTACGAGGCGTGCTTTGTGTCACACTATTTCATTCTTCTCATTACGCTTCCTCACAAAAACCCATTTGTAGCCCACGGGTGGTGGAGTAGGAGCTACAGGCCTAAACACCTTACGTTTCATGACTGAATCAAGTTCGACCTAGATTGCCTGTTTCCAGTTTGACCAATCCATTCTACGTCGACATTCATCAACGGAGTGTGGTTCAATGGCATTGCTAAGCATGATGTCGGAAACAATGGTATACGCGAATGCATCGTCGACAATCATCTCATTCCGATTCCAAACCTCATCCAAAACTACGTAATGGACCAAAATCTCATGATTCTCGGGAGGCCAGTATGTCTTATCTAAGACATTACTGTAATTTAGAATAACCTCATGTGATGGAACAAATAAGTAAGCAATGGTAGGATTTAAACTAGTGTCACTAGTTTATGCCGTTTTCCTCTTCCGGGGTTGTGAATCCTTTGAACCAGAAGCCTTGCCATGCTTCATGGTAGGAGTAGGTGATTGGCTAACTGCCAGTGTACCTTGTCGTGTGGAAGGTGCAGCTGCCCTACCCTCGAGGACAATTCGGCCTTCCACAGTAGTGTTATGGCATACATTCAATACGTCCATCCTTCAGGTGCGTTTGTAGCAGGTATATGTGATATTTTCACCTTCGCTAGATTAGTAAAACTATCTAGCATGCTTTAAGCAATGCTCTGAGGATCTAGAATACGTCGCACTTCAATTTTAGACTGAGGTGTGCGGGGATCTAAATGAGACATAATAGGAGTAATCCACAACAATTCATGGTGTTCTACAAGAACGTTAGTGACCTAATCTCTCCCTAACGACGGGAATCCTGTCTCATCGAAGTGACAATCCGCAAAGCGTGCGGTAAAGAGATCTCCTGAATCATAACCGACATAGATTCCTATTTTTCTCTGAAGACCTATCTTGGTACATAGTGGCGACGCTATTTGAATATAGATTGCGCACCCAAACACATGTAAATGTGAGACATCTGGCTCGTATCTAGTAACTAACTGTAACGGTGAATGAGGCTGGGTAAGGTGAGCCTCAGGCGGACCAATATAGCTGCGTGCAATACTGCGTGACCCTAGGCAGATACCGACAAATTGTTTCACATAACCAAAGTTCGAGCTATCGTTTAAAGGCGCTTTATAAAAGCTTCTGCTAGGCCGTTTTGGGTGTGAACATAGGGTACATGATGTTCAACTTCAATCCTAACAGACATGTAATAATCGTCAAAGGCATGTGACGTAAACTCTCCGGCATTATCGAGTTGAATCGACTTAATCGGATAATCAGGGTGGTGAGCCCTTAGCTTAATAATTTGTGCTAGAAGTTTCGCAAATGCAGCATTGCGTGTAGACAACAAGCAGACTTGTGACCATTGTGTTGATGCATCAACCAACACCATAAAGTATCTAAATGGTCTGCATGTTGTTGGATAGGTCCATAAATATCCCCTTGAGTCCTCTGAAGAAATTTAGGAGGGTCGTAAATAATCTTTGGAAGTGATGGTTGAATGTTCAACTTCCCCAAGGAGCATGCTTTGCAAAACAGATGGTTAAGATAAGATTGCAAGTGATGCCTATGAGATGCTTTGAGGATACAGCGCATCATATCTCGTTCAGGGTGTCCTATTTGATCATTCCAAAGTAGGAAAGTGTCTTGGAACCCAACCATAAGGCCGGCCACATGGTGTGTCTCTACGGCTCGAATGGTTGTAATATATAACCAACTCGGGAAATGTTCCAACTTCTTATGAATACGCTTCTGGCTATATTCGTAAGAAGTGATAAAAAGAAATTCAGAACCATTCTCTTCAGTTGATATTGATTATCTCGAATATCTCTAAAACTCAGCAACATTCTTCTGGAACATGGAGAATATAGTGCCTCTTTAATGGTTAACTCAGTATCATTGGACAACATTATACGAGTTTTTTTGTATCCTTCTATCAAGTTGGATGGGCCTGAGAAGGTTGTCAGAGGTGCATTCTTAGGTACAAAAAATAGTGTTTCTCACACAATATGGTGTACGTAGTTGCATTATCAGCCAGACAACTAACTTCCCACTAGTCTTACAGAGAAACGAATTAATTGAATTGGTCACATGTATAAATATAATTTCATTCATTCAGTTAATCAATTTGAGAAATAATATCCATAAAATAATTGTCCAAAGTTCAAAACAAACCAAAACCAAACAAATAATTCCAAAGACTTAGAAAAATTGTCCGAAAATTAAACCATAAACCTAGAAATTTAGGGGAGGGAGTTCGGCCACTAGGGGTTTAACACCCTAAAAACATGTCTAAAATTTATTCTTCCATAGGAGCAAATGCCTCCTGAAAATTTGAAACCTCTAGAGTTGTAGTAGTAGCTTTGAGGATTGCTACATGCGTAAAGTTGGACTCACGACGTGAATGATACTTGGCAATGGCCTCAGGGGTAGCTCGGCATATGTGTGACCAATGATCCCTTGATCCATAGCGGTAGCACATGTCCAATTCTATGGAATCCAATTGAATGGTAGTTTTTCCCTTGTTCTTGAAGTTTGGGGCCTTCCGGGCAAGGGGTTGGCGCTTCTGGGTCAAGTTTCCTCCCTTGGATGAGCCTCTATTCAGAGGATCTTCGGCTTTTGGTGGAGCTGGCCACCCTTTTCCACAGCCATGATAGTATCTTTTTCGGTTGTGGCTACTAGAATTTGTCGCATGCGTTTCAGGCGCGGCGTTTAAGCCAGTAGGTCGAGCTTGATGATTCTTCATCAAAAGATGGTTCTGCTTTTTAGCGAGAAGGAGAACAGATATCAAATCCAAAAATTTGGTAAATTTATATGCCCTATATTATTGTTATAGGACAATATTGGTGGCATTGAAGGTCGAATAGGTATTCTCCAGGAGATCCTGTTCGATTAAGTCCTCGTTACAGAACTTAAGTAGTGATTGGATTCTACAAACTTCAGAGTTGTATTCATTAATAGACTTACAGTCTTGGAAGCGTAGATACTGCCAGTCATGTCTTGCGTCAGGCAAGAAGATGTCTTTCTGTTTATCAAAGCGATCCACCAGGATGAGCTAGAGGGTACGTGGATCCTCCTCTATGAGGTACTTGGTCTACAGTGCATCATGGATATGTCTTCGAATGAAGATCATAGCATTAAGCTTCATCGACGGGTGCATTATCAGTTGGTTCCTCGATGGTAGCTCTAATACTTTTTGCATTAAGGTGGAGCTTCACGTCTTGAACCCACTTCAGGTGGTTTCTTCCTAAGACTTCCAGAGCAGTGAAATCGAGCTTGTTCAAGTTCGACATGTCCCTAAACAGAGAGTACAACAAAACGTGGTTAGTCATATGGAAGCCATAGACATACATCATAAAACATTCGGGTTCTGTAGATATGTATTGGTTTAATTTATGCATGAAAGATACAGCTTTCATGTGGTAAGTTTTGAATGAAGACTTCGGGTTTCAAAGGCACTAAATTCGAAATTAGAGGTTTGATTTAGTTATGAACGTTTAGTTCATCTATAAGGGTACTTGCAAGAACACAAAATACAATATACAATAAAGTGTAGTGGATTTGTGGATTGCTTCAGGAACCCAAGTGTGAGTGCTTTGGGACTACGAAAGATAATCAACAGTTCAAAGAGACGAAATAATTTATTGAATCGTTAATGCCAAAAAGTGAGCTTTAGACCAATAATTTTGGATTCATTATCAGATTAGTGGACAGCTGGTCATTTTAATTAATGCAATGAATCAAGACCATTCAGAGTTGATCGTAGAAGCAAAAATAATTATAACATGCGGGTTAAAATTATTTAAAATGCCAAAAATAGTATTGGATTAAAAAAAAAAACCATAGCCCAAACACGGAGGCATGTGTGCAATGAGTAAGGTAAAGCCCCATAAGGTTTATTGGGCTCGGGTGGCTACAAATAGCAACCCAATGCATGGTTTCAGGCCGCGGGCCGAGTGATGGGAAGCCCAACAACAAGCTGCTGGCATTATGGGCCAACCAATGCACGGGGGGCAAGCCCAAAGGTTTACGGAGGTGCGAGGAAACCCAACCAGAGTTGGGTTTTGGTTATTAGGCCGTAGAGATAAGCCCAGCCATCTAGGCTGGCTTCTGGTATCACGGGTCGTGGCAAATACAAACCAAGCAAGCCAATGAGGCTGCTATAAATGGGTCGGGGCTTTAGGCCAATGTCAGGGACAAGCCCAGCATACTTCTGGCATGCAAGTGTTGGTTGGGTTTGGATCGGGGCTGAAGGCTGTGTAGTAGACAACCCAAGCCGAAGCCTGGTTAGGTCCGAGATATGCAGCAAGCCCAAAAGGTTATGCGTAAGGTCAAAGGCTTCGGAGCGACGCCATCCCAAGGTGGTCCACGCAGCTAGGCTTTAGGCTAGTGCGGTGGTCCTGACAATTATGCCACGATGGTGCTGCAACGGTGCCGCGAAAATCCCAAATTTTTGGGGTTTTTTTTTTTCCGAATTCAAGGGTAAAAAACCCTAATTGCTTCTAAACTAATTTTGATTTTTTGACTCACAATTCCACATAGCATAAATGGGTAATGCATGAACAATTATATATATTGACAAAATATATGAACACATATACGATATATAGATATAAATATAGGGGGTTCATGCATCATAGGGAATGTTTTCATGCTTCAAGGTTTTTTCAAATATCTTAATTTATTTTAGAATAACCTGATTGGCAAAAAACAATTGAAAAAGCGTCTTACCCTTTAGTTCCTTAACTTCTGGCAAGAACGTCCTGATAACGTGCTGTAGGCCTATCTGACTGAACTGTATAAAGGACAGGGAGGGAAAGGGGCTAGCGGCAACAAAGAGAATAAAGAGATTTAATTTTGAGGTGTGTATTGTATCACCCCCTTATGCCTTTATTTATAGTAATAGGATAGGTAGAATTCTTACCCTAATAGGATTACATTTCTAATAGGAATTAAACTACTAAAGAGAATATACAAGATACTCCTAAATACACTAGGATTCACACAATCACATTCCTAATCCGATAGGATATATATATATATATATATATATATATATATATATATATATTTCTTTCCAAAAAGGTTGATTACTATCTTCACGAAGCATAACTCTGGATATAAAAACATCTTTATACCATCTGAAATCACTTAAGGTTGGACACCTTAAATTACTCAGTTGGTCGTGAATACGAGTGGTAACATTGCTAGGTGTTCCTATAAAGTGTTCAATGATCGTGTAAAGTAACGTGTTAACGCCGTCGGGTATTGACACACCCCGACCGAGATCAGGGCGTGCTGGCCATCACACGAAGGTGACGTAGCCATGTGCGCGTGCGGAAGCGATTAAGATAGTAATATAAAAGTACGAATAATTAAAAACTAACTAGCATACAAAGTACTAGTGTAGGTGAGACACAATTACAGAGCAAGTCTACAGCAGTCAAAAGGAAAAGATGCGACATATATACACCCGAAGGTGACCCTACAATGGTGAGTGTCTGTCAGAAATGCCGGGACGCCCTCTGGGATAAACCACCGAACCTTCTAGACCACTAGAACCTGGAGGGGCGCAAAAACAAAAGCGTGAGTGGGCAAAAACAAAGCTCTTTGAAAACTCTTTGGCAAAATACATTCTAACCCCTCGCCGTAAAACCTGTATACTTCCCAGAAAATGAACATATACGTATGTATAGGTATGCCAATCATGCTCCACAATATGCCATTCATGCTCGAGAATATGCCACAACAGAAGCTCATAATCAAATATAAATGCTCAAGCGTAATTCACATCAATAATATATAATCTAGCAGCCGGGAGTCACCTAACGTGACCTGTACGGCTGTAGATAGAGCTCCAATCTCAACTCAATATCTGAATCTGCACACGAGTCGGAACCACCTAACGTGGTCTGTACGACAGGACTGGGTGTAATATATACGCTCTAGTGCTACGATCACGTGAAGACTGTGCGAATAATCGCGGGTCACCTACGAGTCGGAACCACCTAATGTGGTCTGCACGACAAGGCTTGCACCTAACTTGGATCCAAGGCGAGCGTGTGGTGCGGGTGAACATCACGTGAAGGACTATGCCCTGGCCCTGGGCGGGAGCACTAACACCGGGGTGCAGATTATGAGCTCTCTAAGCATTTCAAACTACTATTGCATAACAACATGAATACCGCTTACCTGGCACTTACCTGTGCGTCCACAGCACTAATACACATATATAAATGTATGCCGCTACTAATACATGCGATGATGCGTAAACAACATTCATATGATGCATGGCATAAAACAAATAACCTTTTCATTTTAATTTCTGGGAATTAATATGTATATAGGTATATACGGAAAACAAAAGCCCACTCACTGATAATTGGAAGGGTCGTAGCCCCCCTGCCTCGAGTGTGTACGCTCGTCCTCGGGATACGAATCACCTATACGCGACAAAGTTACGAAAACGTTAATTTAAAAGCACCTAAGCAACTTCTTGTAATAACTTCTCATACATTGCTCAATTTGGACAATTGAATATACCAACGTGATCTACACAACCTCAGGATCACACCCATATTTTTAAAATAATTTTTGGACCCCGCACGCGCCCCCACGCGCCGTCCAAGGCACGGACCTACGCGCCCCCCACGCGCGGCCACGTGCCATGCACACTGACGGTGTCAACAGACGCCGTCAGGAATATTTCGTCAACTAACGAAATATTCCGTTAAATCTAACCAGATGCCGTTAACGGCGTCAGGAATATTCCGTCAACTTTGACGGAATATTCCGTCTCCTTCTCCAATTAGTCCCCGACGCCAGCGCCGTCGCCGTCGCCGGCACCGTCGCCGGAAAACCTGCAATTCACATTTTCTCGCTCGTTTTTCCACCTTTTTCCACGTTTCTTGCACCAAAATCAACCCTAGAACTAGTAGAATATGTCCCAACAAGTTTTAAGGCCTAAAAACCATGGAATCTCACCTGCAACAACGATCTAAGTTCGGCCAACTTCGAACTTAGCCTTCCCGACGTCAAAACTCGTCCAACGAACTACTCCCAAGCTCCTGGGAACTTCACAAACACATCTACAAGCTTAGAATCTCCTAAAACAAGCTAGATTAGGTTTGCATGAACAGTGCTCAAATCGGCCATGGTGATATCGACGTGAAAACGTCAAAGTTCTTACCTGGAAATGGCACCACTGGACTCCTCTCAGCCTCACGAGCACGAGGGTAGTCTTGGTTTCTTGATTTATGAAGGTTTGGGTATGTTTGTATGTGTGTCCGTGTGTTTACAGAAGGAAGAAGAAGAGAGGAACTCGGGGAGAGAGAGAGAGAGAGAGACAGAGTGACAGAAAGTGAGGGAAAGAGGGAGGGAATCCCGGGAGAAAAGAAAGGGTATGAGTGTGTGTGGTCCTACAACACCACACCACACAACACTAATGTGATAAAAACGAATTAGGGGGTAAAATCGTAGATTCACACGTACGTTAAAATGAAATTTGGGACGGGATGTTACAACCTACCCACCTTAATAGAATTTCGTCCCGAAATTCAAAATAACTAATTACACCCCTAACGGTCAAAGAATAATCTAGGATACAAATCCCTCATCCTATTTTCTGTCTCCCATGTCGCTTCTTCAACCGAGTGATTCCTCCACAAGACTTTCACCAAATTCACCGTTTTGTTCCTCAGAACCTTCTCTTTCCAATCTAAGATCGTTAACGGTTCCTCGTCATACGTTAAATCTGGATTTATCTCTAACGGTTGAGGAGGTATCATATGCGACGAATCAGCAACATAATGTCGGAGCATAGACACGTGAAAAACGTTATGCACTTTAGCCAACTCCGGAGGCAACTCCAACCTGTAAGCTACCTCACCAACTCTTTCTGTGACTATGTATGGTCCGATGTACCTGGGACTCAACTTCCCTTTCTTTCCAAACCGCACAACACCTCTCCACGGTGAAAGCTTTAGAAATACCCAATC